TCAACAGACTGTTATAACCACATAGCATCACCGTAGCGCACAAACCAACTAAAGCCCGCCAAAACATCCTAAGTAAACCAAAAGACCCAGCAGCCCAAGAAGAAAAAAATCAGGAGTCATCTACAACATATAGTGTAAGGACTGTAACAGCCACTATGTAGGAAAGACAGGCAGAAGACTAGCAGAGTGCATCCATGAACACCAACTAACAGAAGACACAATGAAAACTCCTTAATCTCAGAACACATGGACAGACTCAGCCATAGTTTCAACTGGGAAACTGTGAGCATGCTAGACCAAGCTAAATCCAAAAATGCTAGGAAATTCCTGGAAGCTTGGCACTCAGATACATCAGCCATCAATAGACACATAGAGATAAACCACATTTACACATCATTCAAAAGAGATAATAAGAAAGCTAAGAAGGAAACAAAAAGACCAAAACACGTCATCTCCAGTAGCCTACACCCAGGTAAACAGGGATTAACACCAGACAAACAAGCAGAAAACAATACTCTAATCAACGAACTACCAAGGAGACAAACAATCAAGCAGACAACAAGCAGAAAACAATACCCTAATTGAGGAATTACCAGGGAGAAAACCACACCCCCACCAACACTGGCAGGGCAAGCTACTGTATATAAACAGGGAACAAATCTCATACTCACTAGCACTGATGATGTTACCTAGTTGGGTAATGAGACGTCTGCAATCAAACAACCAAGCTCAGAGAGCACCACGGACTCCACAAAAAATACTTCTTCCACAGTGCCCTAGGGTGACCTGCATTTGCTCCAGAATTGTATATCACTTAAGATCTTGCTAGATGTTATTTTGATATTACAAAGAACACTTATAGCCACTGTAGATAACATGGACAGGGTAGTATATGTGAAAAACATCCAGACAGCTATGTGTTTAAAAAAAGTAAATCCTTCGATTAAGTAACTTTCAAATGTAATTATTTTCATTACTTTTAGGTACATTTTTTTTTCAGATTCTAAATAGGATATCCTTTGCCTAGAAAATAAAGGTAGCTCACTGTGATCCTTAATTTCAATAGATGAGTGCAAGGATTAGGAGCTACCAATGTTGATTTCTCCTTTAAAAAAAAATCATGGTGAGGCTTAGGAAAAAGCTACAGTGGAGGGTGTTTCCTTTGTACAAAATATTTCTTTCCAGGTCTAGTTTTGCTTTTGCCTTGTGCTTTAATCCAGCCTTCCCCAAAGTTTCTACATGTGATGGGCTACAGTGCCTATCATTCTCAGATGGAAATAAACAATGAGAGTGGTGGTGCATTACATCTGTAATGCCCAGGTTGGGAAAGGCTGTTGTAAAGGATGCTCTTACGTTAGCCTTCCATATTATGGTTCCATCCATAATCTTAAAGTGAGAGATTTAAGGAGAGTGGTAGTAATATTGGAGTGACACAACAGGGTAGAACACAGAAAGTTTGGAGAAAGTAGGATGTAATCTTATTGTTTGCCAGTAATCAATAAGTCAGAGTTAAGAGTTTGCTTCAGTTAGACCTGTACTGGTCCAATGAATTATTATTATGTTAGACACATTTTGGCTTGAGGCTTGTTGAATAATTCCCACACAATCATTTCCATGTTATTTGGCTTCAAATTGGATATATTTCCAAACATGTTACTTTTGGCAGGAATTTAGAGCTGTTATAGATGTCAGGGTGATGCTAATTTTTTGTATGACTTTCCAGCTGTTTTTGTCCAGACAATTTCTTTAATATAATTCTGCAATCTTTCATTAAAAAGTCTGCCAAAAATATCCAGTGGTTCCAGGAGAATAGTGTGGGCTATTTTTATTATTTTTTTCTGAAAGGCAACCCGAGTGCAGCTTTACAGCAAAACTGTTTGAGCTATAAATGTTTTGAAATTTTGATTTGGCTATTGGGTTCTAAGGCACAAAACTCAGCAAATTAAGGAAGTGCTTATTTGCTGCCTTTGCAGCAGTGAAATGCTCTAAATGTGTAATTTGCTCTGAAATGCTACTTAATGTTTTAAATCCAAACTTCCAGACCAGTTTATCATAGGAGTCTTGGTGATTTGTTTGAACCAAATGTGAGACTTATATTTTATGGGTTTTTCGTCTGTCTCTAGCTAATACTGTGTAGATGTGTCCAGTTATGGACTCCCAGTTCTGCCAGTGAATGAACAGCAGACATAGGATGCAGTACAGTGGTACCTCAGTTCATGAACTTAATTCGTTCCATGACTCTGGTCACGAACTGAATTGGTCGTGAACCGAATCAAATTTTCCCATAAGGTTCAGTGTAAATACGGTTAATCCGTTCTGAACCATATGTATTTTTTTTAAAAACCACAAAAATATGAAACAAAGTACACTACAGTACAGTACAGTAT